CTTTAGTTAGGCCACACTTGGAATATTCCATACAGTTCTGGTCACCCCACTACCAGAAGGATGTGGATGCTTTGGAGAGGTACAGAAAAGGTTTACCAGGATGTTGCCTGAAATGGGGAATTTTAGTTATGAAGAAAGGTTGGATAAACTGGATTTGGTTTCACAGGAGGGGTGACTTGAAAGAAGTTTATAAGGTTGTGAATGGCATGGATAGAGTGTAAAGTATGAGGTTTTTTTCCCCAAGATGGAGGGATCAATTACTGGGGGACACAGATTCAAGGTGCAAGGCGGCAAGTTTAAAAGTGATGTGAGAGGCAAGTTTTTCACTCAAAGGGTGGCGAGTACCTGGAACATGTTGCCACAGGAGGTGATGGAAGCAGACACAATAGCAGCATTCAAGAAGCACCGAGATGAATACATAAATAGGAAGGGAATAGAGGGATAAGGATCCTTTCAGTGAAGACAGTTTTAGTATGGAAGGGCAAAATGTGGCTGCACAGGCTCTGAGGGCTGAAGGGCCTGTTCCTGTGCTGTATTGTTCTTTGTATCTGTTGACTTATCAATCCTAACACCTCCCACATTCATCGTCCCTGTAATCGAGATCACCCCCCCTCCCTCTGCTGCCTGTCTCCTCACTCACACCAACTGTTGCTGAGCTATCACCGGTGAGATCACAACATTCTCCCACAAGAGGGCTGCGCATGCGCTCTACTGCACCTTGACCTTACAAAGATGGCGTCCCCAAAGTCTGCGTGCACTTTATTTCCACAGCAAGATGAAGGCCATAAACCTGCGCGTATTCCCTGGACAAAGACCAGGATCTCCAAACACGGAGCCTGGAGGGCCTTATTCAAGGTTTGCGACCTACACGATGTGTTCATCAAGTCTCTTTGTTTTTCTCTTCCAATCACCATACACCAGCTCCACTCCTTCCCTTTCTCTCACCAATTGCAGCCGCTGGGCAAAGTAGCTCCAAGTCTCTCAGCACTGCTCAAAGTGACGCTGTGCATGTCCGAGGTACAATCCAAACTGCATTTGTGCCTGAGCCTGTTGTTGAGTGAACAGAGAATATTCACATCCACAAAACCAGTCCTGACAAAGTGTTTCATCCCGAAACATTGACTTTCCTGCTCCTCGGATGCTGTTTGACCGGCTGTGTTTTTCCAGCTCCATATTTATTGACATTAGCTTCCGGCATCTGCAGTCCTTAGTGTCCACAACGAATATTGGGATTGAGAACCACCATTAACAATCATTGTGGGGTTTTGAAAATTAGTTTCTAGCCAATTTTTACATATTAATTAGAAAATAAGAAAGTTAACGGACTCTGCATCTCAACTATTTCTTGATATCTCTCGTTAATTTCTTGAGAGATTCTCTATATCTGGTGAGAATGATCTGATCACGTAAAATTTTTCACTTTGTCCTTTTCTGACCAGTCCTGAAGATTTCATTCCTGGTCAGTTCTCCAGCCTGGACCCTCTGGTTGGAGGATCAGCTGCACCCACTCAAACCTCCAGTCCCACCCCCTCTTCTCTGTCAGAGTTTGGTGCAGGCGCTACTCAGCAACTGTGCACCAGAAAGATATGAAGGGAAGAACGAGGCAACTGGAACTTATGAGGAAGTTGGGGGACCCTCTTGCGGTGAGGTAGTAGTATCCCTACTCCTGAATCGACAGGCCTGGGTTCAATGCCCATTGCTGCAGTCATGTGTAATAACATCTCTGATTAGAGGGGAAAAAGGGGAAGTCAGGGACAGAACAAAGGAAAAGTAATCAGCAGACAACGTAATACAAAATTTCTGTGGAACTCTGCTGCAGAAAGCTGTGGATTCCCAGTCATTGATTTTATTTAAGGCAGAGATAGATAAGTTCTTGATTAGTAAGGGGATCAAAGGTTACAGGGAGGAGGAGAATGGAATTGAGAAACATATCAGCCATGCCTGAAAGGTGGAGAAGACTTGAAGGGCTGAATGGCCTAATTCTGCTCCTACATATCATGGTCTTATGATCCTACACTTTGAATTTATAAACCAAAAATGGGGAAAGGCATAGCAGCAAAGTAGTGAATTCATGGTCACTGTTTCAGGTCACGCTCTTCAGAATGAACACTTCCAGCACAAATATGAATTCCCCCCCCTCCCTATGCATTGAACATTCCTTCAAGCACTCTTCCACCAATCGCTCCCAGCCTAGATTGACCATTTTGGGAAGGAGTAGACTTGGCAGTAGAGCTGGGTTATGATGTAACTACCAGTTTTGTTGAGATAAAGTCAGGAGAAGGTTATCTGCTGTCAGGCATGCTACACTGATAAACTCAGACAGTGATTAACAGTTGAACGCTGCTTATACTGCTAATGTCAATAACTAGATAGTAGACTAAAAAGACTTCTCATAACTTTTGCAGCCTCTGTCCTCGAGCTCTTTCTCTCGTGTCTTCATCTTCTGATTCTGGTTGTATTTCACTGCACAGACATTTTCTTAAGGATCTCTTTTAGTCTTGTTTTTATCTGATTAATCACCCACTGTGCCCAGTCACAGTTCATATGAACAACTTTCACCTCACTTAAGTACATGATGTTCTGCATATTCATCGTTATTTTGTTTTATTCTTCCCTCGGGGCTCCTGCATCCATTGTCATTTATTTCACCAACATTTCTCTATTTACTGACAAAAGAGCTTCCAGGGCTTTCTTAAGATTTTACCTGCACAAAACTTTTTCCAACCCGACTTAAAATTCCAGGATCTCTAACTTGGCATCTTTTCAAACTTTACTTTCTGAGTTTTTCTTATCCACTGTACTGCAAACACAAGATTCTAATGACAATTGATGTTAGCTTCTAATAATCAAATTCAATGTTGAAACTTGCCTTGTTGCTGACTTCATAGCATCACAGCATGTAACCAGTGAAAGGGTGAGCTGGCCCTTGGGATATGAGAATGGACAAAGGTTAGAAGTGGTTCCAATCAGACATTTCAGATATCTATTTAAAAAGGAAACTGAACATTTTGTCAACTCCATTATTACCCCTGTCTCCCCCAATGTATGCACATACTTGATCAATTACAGTTTGTGGTCCAGATGCTTCCTATTGCTCCTACCTGTTGCATCCTGTAGACAGTGTTCTCAAATCTCTGCTCTCACTGCTCAAATGCTTTTGCTGTTCACTTACAGTTTCAGAGCCCCAGAGGGACCTATTGAAGACTGTTTCACTTCTACGTGTACAAGGCCAGACACCAATAGTGTAATATAAGATATTGTGATGGGAGATAGAGGTACTCCTGACAAACTGTGGAACTCCACTGGAAATGGGCAGCTAGACAAGGATGTATGTCACAACAGCAATATTAGCAGAATCCAATTGCTGGTCTCGCAGGTGAAGTTGCTGGTGTTTCAGCTGGTTGTATGATTGAGTGAATCCTTTCCCCATACATGGAGTAGATGAATGGACCCTCCCCAGTATGAATTTGATGTTACAGCAGATTCTGCTTACTTTTAAACCTCTTCTCACAGTCAGAACATTGTAAAGGTCTCTCATTAGTGTGAACAAGTTGGTGTGTCGTGAGGTGGGATAGTTGACTACATCTCTTGCCACACAGGGAGCACATGTATGGTCTCCCCAGTGTGAACGCACCGGTGGATCAGAAGGTCAGATGAATCAACAAATTCCTGTTTGCAGTCAGCACAGGGGAATGACCTCTCTCCAGTTTGAACTTGATGGTGTCTTAGGTGGGATAATTGAATGAATCCTTTCCCACAGACAGAGTAGGCGAACAGCCTCCTCCCAGTGACAGTGTACTGGTGTTTAAGAAGATGCTTTCTGCTTTTAAACTTCTTCTTACAATCACGACATCCAAAAGGTTTCTCATCAGCGTAACAAACTGATGTATCAGAAGATAGGATGAACTAGTGAAACACTTCTGACACAAAGCAGATGCACAGTTCCTCCCCAGTGACAGTGTGTTGGTGGTTCAGTAAATCCTTTTTACTTTTAAAGCTCTTCTCACAGTCAGAACATTTAAAATGTCTCTCATCGGTATAAAAAAGTTGGTGGATCAGGAGGTGGATTGACTGAATGAATCCTTTCCCATACACTTTGCAGGTGAATGGGCCCTCCACAGTGTGACCGCGTTGATATATCAATTTATCCTTTCTGCTTTTCTCTCAGTCTTCTGTGAGAAAATGTTCTTCTCACAGTCAGAACATTTAAACTATCTCTCATCAGTGTGAACCTGCTGATGTGTGCAAGGCTGAATGACTGAGTGAATCCCTTCCCACAGATGGAGCAGCTGAACAGTTTTTCCCTAGTGTGACTGCGTTGATGACTTGCCAACCCTGATGGGTAACAGAATCCCTTCCCACTGTCCCCACATTTCCATGGTTTCTTCATGGTGTCAGTGTCCTTAAGTCTTTCCAGGTTCAATGATTGACTGAAACTGATGTCCACGGACAGATTACATGGACAGTCTCTCTCTGTTGTGGATGGTGTAATTATTTTTCAGGCTGAGTAAATTGTTAATGCTATTTCCACGGTTAGTCACTGGTATGCTCTCATTCACGTGTGTGTCTCAGTGCTATTGCAGTCACATGATGCTTAAAATCTTCTCTCACAGACAGCGTTTCTCCCTTCGCATTCAAAGGCTGATGATGTTCAGATCCTGTTGAATTGACTGACACTGTCAGATCTTGATGTGTTGATTCTGGTTTGTAAATAAAACCCTCTGAATACCTTGTAAAAGGAGGTTAAATTGGAATACTTAGAATATGAAAAGAACAAACATCCCATTCAGTCCAAATACTCCTGCTGTTTTTTGTCTTCCCTCTTATTCCATTCACCTCATTCTCAGTTATTTTTCTGATTCTTTTCGCCATTCAGACTCAGACTGATGACATTACCAATTCACACAACCATTTCCAGCATGACCTCCAGCCTAGTCTTTAAGATGCCTCTCCTCTGTGTGAATTTATTGTTGAGTGTGCAGGGCAGATGATTCAGGGAATCACTTTCCAGTCTTAGTGCAGCTGAATGGCCTCTCCCCAGAGTGAACCCGCTGGTGTCTCAGGAGATGGGATGACTGAATGAATCTCTTCCCACACTCCGTGCAGAAGAATGGTCTCTCCCCGGTGTGAACTCTCTGATGTACGGTGAGGTCAGATGACCACCTGAATCCAGCTCCACAGTGAGAGCATCTAAATGGTTTCTCCTCAGTGTGAATACGTTGATGAATTATCAGTTCCCCAGAGGTTTTAAAGCACTTCCCACAGTCTGTGCAGTGAAAAGATCTTTCGCCAAAGTGAACATGCTGATGGTATTTAAGCCCCCCAGAACTTTTATAGGACTTCCCACAGTCCAGGCAGTTGAAAGGTCTTTCATCAGTGTGAACTCGTTGATGACGCAACAGTTCTCCAGAACTTTTACAACATGTCCCACAATCTGGACATTGAAAAGGTCTCTCGTCAGTGTGAACTCGTTGGTGGTACATCAGTTCCCAAGAACTCTTATAGCACTTCCCACAATCTGCACAGTTAAAAGGTCTCTCATTAGTGTGAACACGTTGATGACGCATTAGTTCCCCGGAACATTTATAACACTTTTCACAGTCCAGGCACTTGAAAGGTTTCCCATCTGTGTGAACACGTTGATGACGCATCAGCTCCCCAGAACTTTTATAGCATTTTGCACAATCTGAGCATTTAAAGGGTCTCTCATCAGTATGAACACGTTGGTGGACCATGTGTTCCCCAGAACTTTTAAAACACTTCCCACAGTTTGGACATTTAAAAGGCCTGTCATCAGTGTGAACACGTTGATGGGACATCAGATTGCTGGAACTTTTATAGCACTTCCCACAATCTGGACATTGAAAAGGTCTCTCCTGAGTGTGAACTCTCTGGTGTGTCAGCAGGGTGGATGGCTGCATGAATCCTTTACCACACTTGGAGCAGGTGAATGGCCTTGCCCCAGTGTGACTGTGTTGGTGAATTTCCAGCTCAGATGGGGACCTGAAATCTTTGCCACAATCCCCACATTGCCACGTTTTCTTCCCAGTGTGAATGCACTTGTGGTTCTTGGGGCCAGAAGATTGTTTGAGGCCTCGTCCATGCAAAGAACACAAGTGTGCTTTTTCCCAGATGTAGATGGGTTGTTTTCCTTCCATTTTCAATACCTGCTGACATTCAGGTAGTGACAAATTGAGCAAATCCATCGTATCCTGATTTGATGCTTGGCTTGAATTTCCCAACTGCAAATCTTCTCCTTCTAACATCCTGTGAAATTGATTTAAAACAGAAAAAAGGAAAACAGAACCCAAAAAACAGAAAATTAGGTTGTGAAATTGATCTCAACAGATCTGGTAATTTACAGGAATGGCACTCAGAAAAAGTGAGAACAAAACTGCTGAATTGCTGTAGTACCTAAACTCTTTAATAAATATCCATCAGAGAAGGGTAACTGCCACCTGGTCTGGATCTACACAAGACTCTGGCCTCTAAGGGAAGACAGAAGGAGAGAGAAAGTTACTAGACAGTAACAGCGGGGAGGGGAAGAGAGGGTGTAAGAGGGAGCAAGGTGGGAGAAAGAGGGAGCACAAAGAATAGAAGCAAACAGGAGCACAGGAGAGTGAGAGGGCTGCTTGTTAGTAAGGCCTTGCAGAAGCAAGGGAGGCTGCATTTGTGCAAGTGGGATAAATCAGCAGCACACAGCTAGGGGATGGGCAGTCATGGAAACCTCACTGAGATATGATCGGAAGAAACGATCACTATAGGGTTAAAAACATTCATTATTAACGGTTTAGGACATGGCAGAGAGATGATCAGGGAGGATAGGGATGAAACAGAGCAATGGATGGTCATGGATTCAGATCCACAGTAAAGGGATCTCACCAGCTCCAGATCAGTGAACAACAGCACAGCAAGATAAGCATTGAATTGTCAATGAATGCTCAATAGTACTCACCTCTGGAACAATTTCATCATGATTAAATGTAAATCCCCCTGCTGGATCTTGCAGCAGAGAAGATAGTAGAACTGGAATCAAAGAAAAATTTCAGAGTTTTCATGTCTTCCATTTCTGTGTAAAATGAGATGACAAAAGAAATAAGTATCGGTCGAGGAAGAAATTCAGAAGAGGCAAACATTTCTCTTGCTTTGAGCACTAAACATCCACCTAGTAAAAGTGTTTCCAAAATCCACCACCATCAGTTCTGGACGGGAACTTACAACATGTTTCCAGCGATGAGTATTTTAATCACAAGGTTACGTTGGACAGAGTGGGGTTGAGAGATTTGATGAATGCGTCCCAAGCTTACGACGTCTTTTCCGTCCGCCAGTTTTGTTCTTCCAAAGATTATCTGGATAGCAGAAGCTTGGAATGCAGGAAGGAGAAAAATATTAAAAGAGTAGAATCGCTGTACAGTTACAATTGAATTCAATGGCGGGGCAAGTACCCAGCATTCACCGCGGTGGTGAAAGGAGTCTGCCCACGCCACAGGAGAGCGGGGCGCAACGGAAGTGACGGAAATAGGAAGAAACGCTCTTTTCCATACAGCAAGGTCGGGGGGGCAGGTGAGAGGGCTGAAGCTGCAGAATACACGGAGAGTGTTTATCAATCCCTCCAGTAAGAGACGAGCATCTTGAAAAAGAAGTTGCAGATTAGTTCCTTGCAGTTTCGAGAAGTGTACCCAGCAACGGTCCGAAGTGAACAGCCACCATCTTGACCGGTGACCTGGGCGCATGCGCGGGCATCATTGTGACGTCACAATACAGGGCGGGGCCTGAGTATGTATCCTGCAGATGCTGGAAATCTGAGACCAAAACAGAAAGTGTGGAGGAACGCAGCAGGTCTGGCAGCATCTGTGGAGAGAGAAAGTCAGAGTTAACGATTCCAGTCCAGTGTGCATTTTCTTCAGAACGCAGTGCCCGGGAGATGCAGCTTCACCCACAGGTGATACTTGCAACACACAGCAGTCTACTTTAATCCCAGGATTTCTTTGCAGTATATATTTTTAATCAGCCTGTTCTGACATGCTATGACACACCTCTGAAGCAGGTGGGACTTAAGAATCTAGGCCTTCTTAGCCAGTGTAGAATTCCTCAGGATAGAGTCCTTGGCCCAACCATCTTCAGCCGCTTCATCAATTGCTTTCCCTTCAGAAGTAGGATGTTAGCTGACCATTGCATCATTTACGACTGCTCAGATATTGAAGTGGTGCATATTTGTACATAGCAAGACCTGGAAGCATCCAAAATCACAAGTAACATGCATGTCACGTAAGTGCCTGGCAATGACCATCTTCAACAAGAGAGAATTTGAGTGTCATTCCTTGACATTCGATGGCATTACCATTGTTGAATCCTCCACTATCAGGAATCAGGAGGTTACGATTGACCAGAAACTGAACTGGACTAACCCTAGAAATACAGTCACTGCAGGAGCAGGGTGAGTCTAGAAATCTTACAGCGAGCAACTCCCCTCCTAACTGCACAAAGTCTGTCCACTATTTACAAGACACTAGTCAGGTATGATATAGAATGTTCTCCAGTTGTCTGGATGAATGCAGCTTTAACAACACTCAAGAAGCTTGGCACCATACAGGACAAAACAGCACTGTTGATTGCCTGTCACCTTCAACATTCACTTTCTTCACCATTAATGGACAGTGGCAGCAAAGGGTCTCATCTATCTTGTGTGACCTCCGTCTGGACAGGAAGCTTGTAGTGTCCACCACTGGGCTAGGTACTTCCCATCACAAGTTGGTACCTTAGGGTATGCAATGCCTCATAGACACTGGGAACAACAACCTGATTTATTCAGGAATGTTGCTTTTGCTTTTGGTACTGATTTTCACATCTTTTGGTGTGGGTCATAAGTTTTGGGGTGGGTGCAATACAGGAAAAATGTCTCTCAGAAATTGAATTTGTTTGTTTTGAGATTTTACCCTGTACAGACAGTGATGATGTTTGTAAATATTTCACAGAGTAATAGAAAGAAAGAAATTGAAGATGGGAGAGTCAAATCAAACAAAATGTCAAGATCCAACAGGTTATTGAACTCATCAGGACCAGAAGGGAATATGTTTATCTGGAATGTCTGTGGGAAAAGATTTCAGACATCAGTGTGAGTGGTAAAGTGCCAACACTCACACACTGACACACCTGATTGTGAATGTTCCAGTGAACTAACTGCAGAAATTATTCAACATCATCCAGTTAACATTCTGAAAAAAAACATCCACAGAGCAGAGACACTACACATATTTGTGTTTATGGACAAGGATTCAACAGATCATCCAATCTGGAGAGATGTCAGGAGATCAGCATCATGGAATAACCGTGGGAGTGTGCCGATTGTGTGATGGGGTACAAATACCCAGGCCAGCTGGAAGTTCATCGTTGTAGTCACTCTGGGGAGAGACCGTTCACCTGCTAAATGTGTGGGAATGGATTTGCTCGGTCATCCAGCCTCGTGTCACACCATTGGGTTCACACTGACAAGAGACCTTTTAAATGGTCTGTGGGAAAAGCTTTAAGAGCTCTTGAGGTTGGTTGGCTCGCCGAGCTGGTTTGTTGTTCCGCAGCTGTTGTTAAGAGCTCTAAAGGTCTAATTCAACATCGACCTGTTCACACAGGGGAGAATTCGTTCAGCTGTTCCACATGTGGGAAGGAATTCACTTGGGGATCCAGCCTACTGTCACATCAAAGTCTTCACTACTGGGAAAGAAGCTTCATCTGCTCTGAGGGAAGGGACACAATTCACGGTCCAGCCTAATGGCACACAATCGAGTTCACACTGGAGAGAGACTGATGTCTGCTATGTGTGAAGGAGGGGATTCACATCTTCATCCATTCTTATGTCACACAATCAGGTCACACTGAAGAGAGATCTTTTATCTGCCCTGTGTTTGAGAGGGGATTCATATCATCATCCAGCCTAAGGTCACATAAGCCGTCTCGTACTGGAGAGAGACCATTCATCTGCTCTCAGTGTGGGAAGAGCTTCAGTCTATTCATTCAGTTATCCAGCCTCAATAAACGTCGACTTGTTCACAGTGGGGAGAAGCCATTCACCTGCTCCGTGTGTGGGAAGGGATTCACTCCACCCTCCAATTTCAGCAGACATGGGCTTATTCACACTAATGAGAGACCATTTAAATGCTCTGACTGTGAGAAGATCATTAGAAGCATCAATGATTTCATGAAACACCAGCAAACCCATTCTGGGGAGATCTGTCATAATTCAGTAATGTGACCACTGGGAAGAGCTGGAGAACCGGAAGCACTCTGGACCTCCAGCCAATCAGAGACCCCCCCGTTGTCTAAACGCGAATGTGGGACAATCAATTTCTGAAGCTGCTCAGAGCTGCCAAGCAACGCTGTTGCTCCTCTCTCTCTGAATAAAGATTGAACTTCACCCAGACTGAAACTTCTTCCTCTCTCCAATATCTTTGAGAAAACCATTTATCCCAATTTCTTTTTTTAAAAGAAAATTCTGGTGTGAAATTATTTACTTGCAGCAGCTGAAAGGAAAGAAAGTGAACCTAGGGAGGGAGCAGAATCTGTCCAGACAAGAAGTGATGATCAATTAGATTTGATTGTTTTGACATTTTAACCTTAATTTCTAATCTAATAAAATAATAATCTTTTTGCAGGATGTTAGAAAGGGAAGATTTTCAGATAGAAATCTCAAAACAACCGTCACATAAAGATCTAATGGAGCCACTGAAAAAAGTCGCACTTGAATATCATTGGCTTGAAACCATAGATCAAGAAATGTCTATCTGATTCAAAAGGTTTGAAACAACAGTTTGTCTGGAAAAGTACTGAGACATATACACCCAAGTGAGAGTCTTCCAGTGAACTGAGATAACTTCACCTAGTCTCACAGCTGAAAGAAACATCACACCATTCACAGTAGGAACTTACAGAGACACAAGACCTTCTTTAATATGGAGAAACCATGGAAATGTGAGGACTGTGAGAAAGGATTCCATTCCTTGTCAGTGCTGGAGTTTCATCAATGCAGTCACACGGGGCAGAGACCATTCACCTGCTCTGAACGTTGGAAGGGATTCCCTGATTCATCTGCTCTGTGGAAACACTGGTGTGCTGTCACTGGAGAGAGGCCATTCACCTGCTCTGAATTTTTTTTTATTCATTCATAGGATGAGGCTGTCACTGGCTAGGCAGCATTTATTGCCCATCTCTAATTGCCCAGAGGGCAGTTCAAAGTCAACCATATTGCTGCAGGTCTGGAGTCACATGTGGTGCAAACCAGGTAAGGGTGGCAGTTTCCTTCCCTAAAGGACATTAGTGAACCAGATGGGTTTTTCCAACAATCGACAATGGATTCACAGTCATCATTAGATTCTTAATTCCAGATATTTATTGAATTCAAATTCCACCATCTGCCGTGGTGGGATTTGAACCTGGGTCCCCAGCGTGTTTATCTGGGTCCCTGGATTAACAGTCTAATACCACAGGCCATCACCTCCCCAATGGCAATAAATTCCGTGAATATTTCACCTTGATGAAACACCAGTGAGTTCCCACAGGGAAGAGGCCATCTACTTGTTTGGAGAATAGTAAAGTGTTCACTCAGTTATCCAGCCTGCGCATGCATCAACACTGGGGAGAGGCCATTTACATGTTCTGGTTGTGGAAAAGAATTCACTCAGTCATCTGCCCTCGTAAGACACCAGCGCATCCACACAGGGGAGAGGCCATTCAAATGCTCCAAGTGTGGGAAGTGGTTCAGAGATTCATCTGGCCTACAGGTACACCAGCGAGATCATACTGGGGAGAAGCTTCAGTCACCCAGTCTGTCGAAGTATAAGAAAGTTCACAAATGATCATAAGAGTTGGGTCTGCTGTTAATCTGCATTATACTTGCTGCTGGACAGCACATTTCAAACACACAGCATCTACTGTCGAGAAAAACAAGTGAAGCAGTTACATTAGCTCCTGCATGCTCTTCTCCATACTCCACACCATTCTCATTAACAGGATGTTAGAAAGGGAAGATTTGCAGACAGAAATCTCAAAATGACCATCACATGAAGACTTAATGGAGTCACTGAAATAATTGGGACTTGAATATCATAATCTTCCATATTGGTTGTTCCTTTACTCTCAATGATTCAAAATCCTGGAACTTCTCCCAAACAACATTGTGGGTGACCCTACACCTCAAAGACTGCAGTCCCAGAAACCTACATCTTCTTAACGAGGACAACTCCGATGGGCAATAAATGCTGACCTAGACAGTGATAGTATATCACATGAATTGATTTGAAAATGAGGGAAAATCACATCCAAGACTGAGCCATGTTCATTCTGACAGTGAGTAAAGTGGGCGGGTCAGAGGGTTCTTTCTGCCGGACTGGCTACTCTCACCACTTTGCTTCCAATGAGGCTGATGCTCTTTGAGCCTGGGACTGCACATTCCCAAGGAAATGATCCCCAAAAGCTGATGAAGTAAATTTATTTTGTCCTGGATAGGAAATAATGTTTTCCTCACCACTCCAATTAGATCAGAAGTAAATACGTTTGTCTTTGTTCCATTGAGTCTCCAGCCCAATCAACTCAATTAGTCTCCGTCAGTATTTATGCTCAACATCCTCCCCTTTTGTCTCCCCCATCAGTAGATCCTTCTATTCCTTTCTCCCTCGTGTATGCATCCAACTTCTTAAATATATTCCTCTGTTCACCGCCATCTCGTGCTCTTGGAGTGAATTGCACATTCTGACCTG